ATGCATAAGGAAAAACTCGTTTAGAATCATGCTACTAATAACGTATTAGAAGGACATGAAAAGTTAACAACAATTTTTGTAATATCTCGAAAACAAAAGCTTTCCGTCAATTTTGTAAGAGGAAAAAGTTGTCCAGAACCACGCCCCTAACAACATATTCAAAGGGCATTAAAATCGTTCGAAATTGATTTCAAAAGTTAACAACAATTTTTGCTAATATCTCGAAAAGAAAAGCTTTTCGCGAAATTTGTATATGAACAAAATTGTTCATAACCATGCCCCTGACAACATATTAAAAGGACATTAAAATCGTTCGAAGTTGATTTCAAAAGTTATGTAAGATTTGTAGAGTATAGAAACTGTAATAAAAGTTTAAAATGCAAAAAGATTTAATTAATTTCGATAAATAGTTTTCGAAATAAAAATTTATACGTACTAGTTAACTAACCGTATTAGTTAACTAACAAATCAAAATTCGATTTTTAACACAAAAAATTAATTTGTAACACTAATATAATCATTTTATCTAGAAACATTTAAATAATTTATCTCAGAATCGAAGATATTAGTTTTGTCCACGTTTTCGCCGTTTTTCGCCACTGTGCGCCGTGAGCAGTTCATACCTCGAAATACGGGTCACCGAGGACCCTTTTGTCTCTCAAATCCTGTCCGAACCAGTCTTACTGTAAACATGTACGTACCATAAAACAGCTAATAGCTGTACCTCTCGTTTTAAACAGTTTTGGACAAACAAAGGCATAGAGTGTTTCTTAACTGTCGCTTTCGGAAACGCGAGGGTATTTAGGCGATTTTTCGTACAAAGAAGAGTCAGTCAAACGTTGAAACTTGGACGCTTCGGATCAAGAGCCGAAAAAGTCAATCGTGAGTTAGAAGGTTCCGCGTAACGCAACGTAACATAACCAATGCAGGGTGATTCGGAAATCAATCACAACATCATTCGAGCGGGACCCTGCACTCCTCGAATGGGCCACGGTAGGGTGGTTAAATCATACATTACACACTGTTCGGGTGAGTCCTACACTCCTCGAACAGGTTACGGTAGGGTGGTAAGATCGTACATTGCAACACTATTCGAGTGCGTCCTGCACGTCACAAATAGTGATCAACTGTTTATTTCATCTGATTAAAAATAATAGACAAAGCTATGTACAGTAAAGACTGGATAACTGTGACAAACGATGGACTGGA